AAACATACATATATACATATATACATATACATATATTTGTGTTGTGTATATGTATATATACATACATACACACACACACACACACACACACACACACACATATATATATATATATATATATATATATGTAAAATAGAAGCAGAGAATCTCAAGTCACTATGGTTCCTCAGAAGTCATCTACTTCAACTCACATGTGACCAGTAGTCATCTCTATCAAAGTCTGCCAAAAGGCACAAAAGAGTGGAAAAGAAGAAGAGCTGGTTAAGCTGGAAGAATGAAAGGTAAAAGATATATAGGTCTAGTAGCACACTGGAATCCCCAAGAAATTATGCCTCACATGAGAGATGAATTAGAATCTCTAACACATGAAAACCAATATGTGTGCCAAGGTACCATTTAGACTTGAGGAATAGGATTCATAACTTGAACATGGTTTTGGAAAGGTTTTCCCTTTTTAAGTGAAATAGGATAAGTTATAAGAGGATATTATAATATTTTTAAACTGAGAAAATATTCTTGTGTAAAGAAATCCAAGAACCAAAGTGGGAAAACATGGTGGAAAGCACTTATGTTGTTATCAGTATATTAATGGTGGAAGTCTTCAATTATCTGGGCATTTGCCAGAATGTTCTCTCTTATTCTGACTTTCTGTCTCTGAATGCCTTTCTCTATCTCTTCTCTCTGTCTCTATCTCTGTAACTCTGCATCTATGCATATTTGTATCTGTCTATCTCTTCCTGGCTCTTTTTCCCCTTCTTTCTTGTCTGCCTGCTTCTCTCTATGTGTCTCTTTCTATCTGCATATTCAGCTAGCTATCTGTCTATCTCTGTCTCTCTCCACAAAGAAAAGCTATTGATTTCTTTATGAAAATGATGTTTTAATGCATCAAAAGTATGAAATGAAGGAACAAACATGAGAAAACTCTATCCTGCATTTGATTCTCATAAATTATGGGGAATTATTAGGCAGAATCAAAATAAATAGGAATGTTACAAGAGTAGGGGAGAAGTAATTACATCATCGTAAAGTTTGAGATAAATAAAGGAAGGAAAACTAGCAATTGTCAGACATGCATATTAGAGTTGGGAAGAGTCAATTCCAGGCAATTTAAAGGAAGGATAAAGGATAATTCTGTAGGGAATTTAAACTGGAAAGGAAAAAAAATACAATTTTGAAGATACAAGAAGAAAAATTGGCAATTAGGCAGACCTAGATATGAAAAATAAGTTTGCAGAAAAGATAAAAAGGAGAGATAACCAAGGACAAATACAAAAGCAGATCCTATCTTATAACAATCAAGTTGAAGGAGTGTCAGCATGCAGTTTGAACTGAGGGAAGCCCAGAAACCTAAAGACTGTAAAGGTGTGTAGTTTTTAATGCAAAATTGACTATTTGGTGAAACAAAGGATAATCAAATCAGGAACAGGACTGATTCTCCTGGCTAATGAGACAAGTAGAATGAATGCCAAGCAAAGGCAGAGCTGCTCGATGTGTATTTTGCTTCTATTTTCGCTGACAAAGAGAATGATCATTGTGTTGAGAAGAACAGAGCCATTAAGTGTTGATACCAAAATACCAACTAAGGACTAGCACTTATATTAGTGGAGAGAAGGGAAAAAGTGCTTGCAATGCATCTCTTATATGTCAAGCACTGTGCTACACTTCATAAATATTGTCTTATTTGATTCTCACAACAACCCTGTGAAGTAGGGACTGTTATTACTCCTATTTCAAATTTGAGGAAAGAGAGGTAAATTGGGGTTGAATGACTTGCCCAGAGTCATACCTTAAGTATCTGTGACTGGATTTGAAATCAGGACTTCCTGACTCCAGTCCCAGTGCAGTATTCATTTTACCACATTTGCCTCTCTATTGTTTGCAAAGTACTTGAAATAGATTGGATCATCTGATCCCCACAACAAGCTTGAGACATATATGGCTAACAAGAAAACCAATCTGACCTTACAGCGCATGAAGAGACCCAGTATTCAGGCCTACAGAGGTGGTCCTGTCTAGTCCACATTTGAAGCAACATGTTAAGTCGGGGGTCCACACTTTAGGAAGGACGGTGACAGGCTAGAGATTCTCCAGAGGAGTTCAGCCAGCATGGAGAAGGACTTTGAAGTTTTCCCATATTGGGGATTGGTGGAAGGAAATAAGAGGGTGTAGAAAAGATAAAAGATGAGTGTCAGAGCAGGAGTTAGGATTAAAGTTATCTTCAAATATCTGCAGAACTGACATAGGGAGGAAAGGTTAGAAATTAAGAAAAAAACAAATTTTAAGTAAGGAAAAGATTTCAAAAATATTGCTATTTGGAAGTGGAAGGGGCTGTCTTAACATGCGCTGGATTTCATCTCAAAGTCTTGAGGTAAAGGGCTGGTTGATCCCTTGTTCTCCAGGCACACATGTACATGGACATACACATATATACATATGTATGTATGTCAGAGATATGCAGACAGAAAATATTTATTTCTTATTTTATGGAAAAATGTGTCTCCTAGATCACTGTGACCATGGAGAAGTCACCTCACCTCAGAGCCTCAATTTACTCATGAGTCAAAAAAGGATAAAATAATGGTGCCTATATCACAGGGCTGTTCAGAGAGAAGGAGATAATTCTGTAAAGTGCTTTGAAAACCTTAAAACTAGATAAAAGAGTTATCTACTCTTATTTTAATTAACACTACTGTTATTGTCTATTTTATCTTTCACAAATCCCTTAATGTCTTTTACTCCTAGGATATTCAGACCTCAGTTTGCTCATTGATAAAGGAAATGTATTAAACAAGATGATCACTGATATCCTTTCCATCCATCTCTGCATCAATGATTCTATGACACTTTTAATCTGTATTAATTTTAAAGATATCCTTAGCCTTCACAGCACCACTGTGAAAGGACTTTTTTTCTGATGTGGTTAATATGAAACTGGGAAGTAAGGGTAGAGTAAATAAGTAAAACTTTATCTCACAGTCTTTTAGAGGAGTAGGAAAAAAAATCAACTTTCACAATTAACAACGATGAAAGATTTTCCTTTCACACAATAGGAAGTATATTAAGTAGAAAACAACCAATCAACTTACAGTCACAATTTATAGTATTGTCTCATACGTGACACCCATATTTTTGTAATTGACGTTATTGAATTAAATATGTATAGAAATAATCTATGACAATCCTTTTCACAAATGCATTTAAGGTTGGGTCCTCTTGAGTTCCCATGTCTAGAGAACCCTTCTTGGTCACCAGGGCAGACAAAGTGATTTGTTTTCTACTCTAAAATTCCCAGGTGTTGGTGAACAGCACTCTCTTGGAAAGATAATTGATTAGGAGTCTGAAGACTTGGGCTCTAGTATTGTTTGGGCATTCACTAATTTCTTCTGTGATTTCATGGAAGTTAATCAATCCTTTCTCTGCTCATTTGGAAAATGGGAATAATAGTTCTTAAGGTATA